GTAGCACATCCATAGCAGCAGCTTAGACCGCAGAGACCTGGCCCATGGCCCCCTATTCTTCAGGAATCAAATTAAACTCGGTCTCTGGTTATTTTTGTAACTTGTTCAGTCTCTGGGATGAGGGCCGCTGGGGTGGAGGGAGTCAAGCCAGGCCGCAGTCTTACCCCTGGGTACACAGGCACAGAGGTCTTTCCTCCCAGATTCACGGTCCGGCCATCCTTTCGGATCAGCAAGTTAAGGCCACGGGAGCCTGGCTCACCCCCTTTGGGAAGAGGTGGGGGGGTCGCCCAGGAGGCAAGAAAGTGAAAGACATGGGGGGATGGGGGGTTGGTGGGGAGATGGGGGAGGGGGGAAGATGGGACAGGGGGTGGGTGGGGAACAGACCAGACCCAGCCGGGCTGAGGGAGGGGAAGAGAGCCACTCACCCAGGAGGCCATAAGGTTGGAACGCACGGCGCTCGGTCAGCACTGACAACAGCATCTCCTCACGAAAGAGCAGCTCTCGGACAACACCATCGCCACCCCGGAAGCGGCCACGGCCCCCGGACCCCAGTCTCAGCTCGAAGCGGCGCAGGATGACCGGGTACCTGCGCAGGCCTGGGGCTCAGTGCCGCCTGACCAGCCCAGGCTTCACCCCAGGCCCCGGTCCTCAGCGCCACCCCTCCCCCACCACTCGCCTGCTCTCTAGGATCTCGGGGTCGGTGATGCGTGTGTTGGTCATGTGGCTGTGCACACCGCTGCGCCCGTGCCAGCCAGGGCCTGCGCCCGCGCCTCCCGCCACTGTCTCGTAGTAGCCCATGTGGGCATTGCCCAAGGTCACGTTGTTCATGCAGCCCTGGTAGAGGCGAGTGGCTGCTGCACTCCCCTCCCTGCCGGCCAGCCCACAGCCCTCCCGGCCCCCAGCAGCTCCAGAGCTGCGCCCATCCGCCCGCCCCGCCACACCTGGGAGGCTGCACAGGCTCCAAAGGCCCCCAAGATGACGTCTACCACGCGCTGCGACGTGAGCACGTTGCCGCCCACCACGGCTGCCTCTGGGGACGGGTCCAGGATGGAGCCTCTAGGAATGACAACACTCACCGGCGCCAGGCAGCCCTGTGGGGAGAGGCGCCAACTCTCCAGAACAACTAGGAGGAACATGGTGCCCCACCACTTGCATCAGCAGAATTAGTTGGTTTGGGGGTCAACTTGGCCCTCAGACTCACTCAGGGTGACCCGGTTCTTGGGGCGGACCTCTGTCCTGGCACACTGCACCCCCCTGCGCACCTGGTTGAGTGGGATGTCGCGGCCCACCAGGCAGCGGAGGCAGTAGATGAGGGCAGACAGCGTGATGGCCCGCGGCGCGTTGAGGTTGCCAAACACCTCAGGCCCAGTGCCGCTGAAGTCAAACACTGCACTGCCCTGCCAGCCCAGGGAGAGGGGAGAGGTGGTCAGCAGCCAGGTGGCCATGGCCCTGAGGCCTCAGGAGGTGCCGCTTCCAAGACTGACCTTACTCAAGTTGATCTGCACACGGAGTTGGATGGGGGAACCATCGTCCATGTGGTCCTCGGCACACACCTCCAGGGGCAGGCCCCGGGCCTGGCGCGAGGTTCCAAAGGCCCGCAGCATGTCTCGCACAGCTAGCTCAGCATTTGCCTGGCAGACAGTACATTCAGCAACAGCCACACCACCTTCCGGTAGGTCAGGTGGTCCCTCCCCGCCCACCAGCCTGGGGTAGGCACACCACTGCCCCCAGGCCCACCTGAATGTGGCCCATGTAGGCCTGCACCACATCCAGGCCGTACTGCCCGATGAGCTCGCCCACCAGCTGGATGCCCTTCTGGTTGGCAGCCACCTGGGCACGGAGATCTGACAGGTTGTCATGCAGGTTCCGTGCGCCGCTGCAGCCTGGAATCTTGCCTGGTGCCCGCAGGGCTTCGATCACCGCTGAATGGAGGGGTCACCACTGAGCCATCCTCCCAGCCCCAGGGCCACCTGGTGCCCTGCTTCATGCCTGCTGTACCTCAGCTGGGCACCACATGTGGGCCCATCACTGGCTCCTCACAACCCTGCTGACTCCTCCAGGGCCCCCTGAGCCCCCAGCTTCTCCCTCATCTGCTGTACCTTCTCCTTCCCACACCCCAGTCCCCCAGGGGACCCTGGGCCTGGACAAGCAGCTTTGCATCTGACCTCACAGGGGCTAGAGGTGCCTAGAGCAGGGCCAGGGGCAGTGGGCAGATTCCCTCAAGCAAACTCTCCCCCTTCCTCCACTCCTCCTGCCCTCCCCTCCCCATCACTCCCTCCTGCCTTTTCTGGGCATCCCCTCCTCTCCCAGGAGAAAAGCCGCTTCCCTTGGCCCTCCCCACTCTCACTGTCCCCAGCAGCAGACTGACTTGAAAGAGCATCAGTGTGGCCGCCTGTGCCTGGACGAGGCCTCCACCCCACCCTCCGGCAAGCAGCCCAGGTCCTGGCCCGAAGACCACGCTCCCTGCTCCGGGAGCTCTGCCCCCTCTGAGGCTCCCTGGCCGCTTGCCTGCACCTGTTCCTCGGGGATCCCTGCCCACACCCAACACTGAGCGAGGAAGCAGCCAGGCCTGGGTGCCTCTGTTTGCGCCCTCAGCACCCGCAGCAACGCATGGCCCTGTTACCCCGCCACCCACCCACCTGCATTGCCCGTCCCCACTCTGGCTGCCCCCTGGGCTCCCAACCCCTGTGGCCTCAGAGCAGCTCTGCACTTCCCACTTCCCGCTGCCAGAAGCTGCAGCTTTCCAAACTTGATGCCCCACCCCGCACCCAAATCCCACCAGATACCAACCATGACCCCAGATCAGCAGTCCCCACCCTGATGCCTGCTTCCCACCTGAGACTCGGCTGCAGCTGCCCCCAGCCCGCTCCGGGGCCTGGCCTGCAGGCACGTAGGCAGAGGGTGCTCAGGGCACACAGGCTACCAAGTCAGGCCCCGCTGTGGCCTTCCACTGCTGCTCCACTGCGCCCTGCCCAGTGATGGACCCAAGCTCAGGAAAGCTCTCCAAGGGCCTGCAGCCCCTGGGCCCTGGCGCCACCAGCTCTCTGACATCCCCAGACCCAATGCAAACCCAGTGTACGTTACCAATACCACAAGCAGCTGCCCACCTTAAGACAGGCTCCTCCCGCCTGCACCCAGTGCCTGAGATATCCTGGCCACCCCGCCCCACCTCCAGAACCGCTGAGGCCTTCCTGGGCACAGGCAGAACTCATCTCAGCTCCTCTGATTATCTCTGAGAGACGGTCTGCAGCCATGCTGTGCGGTCACCACCTGGCTCCCCAAGCCCGCAGGCAGGCTTCAGCCAGTGGGCTGCATCCCAGTAGCTGTCCAGCCTGGCTGCAGGAAGCAGCCACGTGTGCTATCCCACTGAATTCCACCCTGCCCCACCCCAGCCCCACTCCCGCTCACCCTCCTCCTGGAAGACACCCCCCTGGACGAGTTTGAAGGACAGAAAGACGGCGCCCTCCTGCTGCAGGGTGGTGGAGTGGGGGGGCATGGAGCCTGGTGTGATGCCCCCGATGTCCGCATGGTGCCCACGGCTGGCCACGTAGAACACAGGCCGAGTCTGACCCGGCCAGAACACCTAGGAGTTGAGAACGGTCAGCTGTGGTGGCAGCCCCCCCACCAAAGATACCTGGGCAGCGACACTCACTGGCGTGATGACAGTCAGGTCCGGCAGGTGGCTGCCCCCAGCGCTGGGGTGGTTGCTCAGCAGCACGTCACCGGGGTGGAGACTGGCCCCCAGGTGCTGGATCTGAAGCCAGGAGACAGGTGCAGAGTGGGGAGGGAGTGGGGCACAGGGCTCAGGAGGGCAGGGAGAGGGACCCGCCAAACCTGGAACTGCACTGTCTCCTGCATGGCACCCAGGTGCACAGGGATGTGAGGGGCGTTGGAGACCAGCCCCCCGTCCGGCCCGAAGAGGGCGCAGGAGAAGTCCAGGCGCTCCTTGATGTTGGTGGAGATGGCTGTGCGCTGCAGGATTCGGCCCATCTGCTCTGGGGGCACAGAGTGACCAGGTGCCCACTGGTCCCACCACACCCACAGCATAGCTCTGGGATATGGAGAGGCAGGACCACCGCCTTCAAGGCCTCTGAGTCCCAGACCCAGAAGCAAAGGCAGTGATGGCCCACCTTGACACAGCAGGGCCGTGACCAGGTCGTGTTCTGCTTATGTCAACTGCACCCCCCCCACCCCTGCCTGGAGCCCCAGCAAGAACCGAGCGCCCCACATCAACCCTCTGCTGGGCCTAGTTCTTCAAGGACCTGGTGCCAAGGCACAGGCTTCGGGGTCCCAGACGGCACGCGGCCTGACCCTGGCCCCGAGGTCACTGTGCAGTGCCTGTTTCAGTCCACAGAGTGGCAATCCCAGACCACACGGTGCTGGTAGAGAAAAGCACCCACGCTGCCCACGGCCAGCAGGTGCAGTGGGGCTGTGCCGTCCAGGGCCAGGGCCACACTGCCTGCCCTGTCCCAGCAGGGATTCTGCTTCTGCCCCTTCCCCAGGTCACACCTTCTCTCTGGAACCCCCTGCCAGGCACCTCTGCCCGAGATTACAGGGAGCCGGGCAGTGGGGTGCAACAGGGGCAGCCACTCACCGGCGATGCTCATGAAGCGGTGGGAGAAGATGGACAGATGGATAGGGTCAAGCTGGGCACCCACCACACTGGGGGCCTCAGCCCCCACGGAGATGCGGATGTCCCCCGTCTCAGTCACCTCTGCCTGGCAGCCTGGCTCCACCAGGATGGTGCTGGGGGCAGGGGAGCAGAGGGGCTGGAGGGGCCAGGTCATACCCCCACAACCAGAGGCCCACATCCCCAGGCAAAGGAACACCCCAAGCATGAAGGGATCCCAGGGTCTTTCAGACTCTCGCAGCCTAGGACCAGAGAACTCCGCCGGGGCCGCAGCCCGCCCGGGCCCGCAGCTCTGGCCCAGCCCTCACGCACCTGTTGCTGTCAATGATGAGGCAGGGCCCCTGAAGCTTGTGCCCACAGCCCAGCTCTCCCAGCAGGTACACGGGGGTCTCCTGGTAGCCCCCCTCAAAGAAGCACTGGGTCATCTGAGGAGGATGTGAGAGGTGAGCAAGGTTCCCAGGTCCAGCACTCTCCCAGGGTCTCCCCATCCACACCTGTCCCCATATCCCAGTGGGAGTGGGTAGGCGGGCACAGGCAGGACCACCAACCTTGTCTACCCGGGGGGGCCCACTCTGGGCTTTCGGGACGTTCTCGAGGCAAAGGCCACTGTGACCGGTGCCCCTCACCCGCACATCGTCCACGACCACCGGCCGCTCAGGGATGATGAAGCCAAACTCCCTCATGTACCTGCGCAGCCATCAGCCCCGAGGGAGCCATCAGAACCAGGAGGCCAGGCCAGCAGGCCACCCGCCAGGGCTCCCAGGATGCAGAGCTCACATACCTCTCCATGAAGGCTGCCCCAAAGTCGCCAGCTCTGGGTGAGTGGGCAGTGGCTGGGTGCTGGTGGGCCGACACCATCAGGGCACAGTCAGTGCCCTGGTAGCGCAGGTGCAGGAAGCCCTCAGTGCTAATCTGGGACCTGCAGCAGTGGGCGAGCCAGGCACTCACACAGGGTGCCCCTCAAGGATGCCTGCCCTGCTTCCTCCAGCACTCGGAGTCCAGCCCTCCCTGACTGCTGCCCGAGGGGCCTAGGCACCAAGTGAGATGGCTAGGGTGCTGCAGGCCCCCAGAACCCCACCTGGGGAAGCCCTGGGCCCGCAGGGCATCCACACACTGCTCCTCCAGGCGGCTCAGCCTCTGGTCCAGCTGCACGAAGGTCTCAGGAGCGTAGGACAGGGAGCAGGGCTCCTGTGCCTCGTGTACCACGTCTGCCAGGGCCAGCCCCAGTGCAGACAGCAGCCCGCTATGCCTGCAGGGACAGGGGCCACCCAGCGATAGGGTAGGGGTGCCTCCCAAAGGTGGTCCCCCATGCCAGGACACGTGCACCACACCCAGACACACCTGTGAATGTGCACAGTGTCCATGCCCAGGGCCCGGGCAATGGCACATGCATGCTGCCCACCAGCTCCCCCAAAGCAAGCCAGCACATGCGCCGACGGGTCATGGCCTCGTGCCTGGGGAACCAGAAGAGGGTCAGTGGCCTGCCCTACCCTGCCCGGCTCCCACCCCCTTGGAGTGAGGGCATACTTGCGTGAGCGCACGGATGGGCCGGCACATGGCCTCGTTGGCCACACGCACAAACCCCATGGCCACCTCCTCCAGGCTCAGCAGGGAGGCCGGACAAGGCCCATTGGTCAGGAAGCTGTTGACCTCAGTGGCCACAACCTCCAGGGCCTTTCGGGAGGCCTCCGGGGACAGTGGTTGGTCCTCTCCAGGCCCAAAGATGCAGGGGAAGGAAGCAGGCAGCAGGCGACCCAGGATCAAATTAGCATCCGTCACTGTTACAGGGCCTCCTGGGAGGTGCGCACAGTGTGGGCGCTGCGGACTGTGGGTGGACACTGGGAGTGGGCAGTAGGGGTGGGGCTAAAGGGGCAGGTGGGCTGGGGCAGCACAGGAAAGGGCTTGGCAGCGCATATGCCACCTCTTACCTTTGCGGTAGCAGGCGGGGCCAGGGTGGGCTCCTGCAGACTCAGGCCCCACCACGAAGAGGCCCGACCTTTGGAGAGGGGGAACTGGAATTGGAGGCAGGGTGGCAGGCAAGGCCGGGGGTCCCACCCAGGTTGGGGTGGAGCTGACCTGAAGAAGAGGCGGGAGCCCCCACCGGCTGCCACTGTGTTGATGTCCAGCTGGGGGGCCTGGAGGGTGACACCAGCAGTGCTGGCCTCGAAGACGTGCTCGAATTCCCCAGCATAGCGGCTCACGTCGGTGGACGTGCCTGGTGGGGGGCGGGTAAGGAGTCATCCCACAGACCTGGACACCCGACGATGCCCAGCCTGGCAACGGGGGCTCCCCCAGATCCACCCTTGGGCCCTCATACCTCCCATGTCAAAGCCAATGACAGGCTGGCCGCCCTCCACCCGATAGGTGGTGGCTGAGTAACCAACCACCCCACCAGCGGGGCCTGAAAGCACAGCGCGGGAGCCACTGAAGGAGTCCAGGGGTGCCAGACCACCATCTGAGCGCATGAACAGCACCTGCACGTCCTGCGGACAGGCAGGGGCAGTGAGGGACAGGGCAGGCACTGGGCGCGGTGGTGGGGAGCGGACAGGCAGGGGGCCTCACCTTGAGCTGACCCTGAAAGCCACAGCGGAAGCCCTGCACGTAGCGCTGGATGGTGGGAGTGAGGTAGGCATCGGCGCAGGCTGTGTGCCCCCGGGGCACAATGCGCACCATGGGCATGGCCTCCGAGGACAGTGACACGTGTGTGAAGCCCAGCTCCCGGGCCAGTGTGCCCACTTGCTGTTCGTGCTGGGCCCACCTGTGATGATGCCCGAGTGTCTGTTGCTGAGCCTTCCGCCCACAGTCCCCCGCCCGTGCCTGCACCCTGGCCGGCCCACGCTCACGTGTAAGAGTGCATGAGCACCACGGCCAGGCTGCGGATGCCTCGGGACAGAAGCCCTTCCAGCTTTCTGCGCAGAGCTCCCAGGTCCACAGGCTGCTGCACCTCCAGCAGATCCCCTGTGCGGCCTGCCAGGAGGGAAGCCCACCGCTGCCAGTCAAATGCCCATCAGGGCCTGCCACCCCATCCCCCAACACCCGATGCACCGTACCTTTCACAGGTGTACCAGCACCCGGCTCCCCTCGATACAGCACCACGCGCTCGTCCACTTCCAGTACCTCTTCATACAGCATCTCGGGCATGGGCACAGCCTAGGGGTGGGCAGAGGCTCAGAGGAGGCCCAGGCCTGAGGGTCCTTGCTGGGTTCCTGCGTGGGTGGGGTAATGCAGCCGGTGGGATGTGTCCCCACAGGCCAGTCCACAGGCCCCAGGAGATACAGTCAGGTGGGGTGCCCCCAGACAGCTGAGTGCAGCCAACTGCCCCCTACAAGGGCTGCTCCTTCCAGAACCCGCAGGCGGGGGTGGAGGGGTCAGGGTCCAGGCAGGGCACAGCGGCAGATAGGCACAGGACAACACGTGA